TATGTAGGTTATCAAAACTCCTCTTCAACTGGCCCTGCAACATCCCACTGAACAACATGTTTATTCTCAAAGGAAGAGTCTACAGAGAAGTGAAGTTCTACCTCCCAAAACTTATCATGAATCTTGATCAGACTCAACAAATTTTCAAACTTCTATTTCTTGTGATAGTACTCAAGATCCTCACATAAATATCAATCCTTGATAGTCTCCAACCTTACAGAAATTGAAATTCCAAGGAAGATAGAAGATGTCCGTAATAATCCAAAATGAAGATAGGTAGTTAAAAAAGAGAGAAAAACTCTTGAAAAAAATGAAACATAGAAAGTTATTCAAAGACCCAAGGTTTCAATCTAATGTGTCTTGGAAGTAAAAACAGTAAAGAAACTAAGACTTGTTTGGGATAGCTTTCTTACTGCTTTATAAAGTAACTTTTTAGTACAAAATTTTTGAGTTAAATAAATTTTTGTACTAAAAAGTTGCTTTAAAAAGTAGGAAGAAAGCCGTCCCAAACGAAACCTAAGTAGACTGATTTTTTTATTATCTTTTCAACAAATAATGAAAGATAAAATTGCTCTACAATTCAAGAGGTGGATCGGCTCTCTCAATCAACCTAGACGACTCTAGGCAGCCCTCAAAAAAAAAAAAAAAAACTATAGTAAAACACAAAACTCATCAATAGCCGACCCTAACCCTAGACAACTCCCCCTTAAATAGCCCTATAACACAAAATCATAAATAGAACTTTCCTAAACAATTCAATATGATTTATGAAATCTTCCTAAACAATTAAGCATGATTTAGGAAACATTCATAAACAATTAAACATATTTTATGAAACATCCCTAAATAATATTTCCTCTTTTATTTAAATTCAAATTGAATATCTTTCCCTAATTAATTCTCTCATTATTCCTCCTAACATAATGAATCATGGTTTTACTGGGCAAGGGGGCTGAATTTTCCCTATTTTTGAGCCAGATTCTGCCTAGCCTAATGGCCGGTTCGGTCCATGCTAGACTGAATAGCTGGGCTGGCCGCCCCCTCCAATCGTATCACCATCCAAATGAAATGCAAATTAGTCTCACTATAAAATTAGAGCTAATAGATCCATCAACATAACACATTATCTTGTTCATCATAATTAGACTAAACTTATGGAGATAAATCAACACTTCATTAAGAAAAAAAATGGAGATCCATGTGCTTTATATATTCCCCCTATAAGATTGTCAACATCTTGAATAAAAGATTGACAAGACTTCTATTTAAAAAATTAAGTAATTAAGGCTTGTTAGATGTGTACAACTAACATGAGGTGGCATGTTAAAATGATGTCATTTTTTAAAAAATTAGGAAAGAAATAATTCATATTGGCGATATTTGTGGGGTTCATTAATAGCAAACCAGCTAAAGGCTAATTTCAATTAGCAATTATAGCCGGTAATAGCCAAAGATGGTATGGAAGCTGCATCACTAATGGAGTGCCTCCTTGGCCCTCAGATTGATGACATGACAATGCACAAGCCAAATATTGTTAACTTGGAGCTTACAGCCCATGTTGATTTCGTAGTTTTTTAATGTAATTTTGGTTGTAGTATTTTCTTTTTTTTTTTACTCGTAGTTGTGGTTTATTTCTTCTTGGTTTTTACCCATTGAAAAAATCTATAAATAGAGCTTGGCCAAATAAACACAATAGAGTTTCACTTTTCTTCCACCCAATTTCACTTCTATTTCTTATAATTTTAAAGTAACATATCTTAACAGATTTTCTTGCTCTTTAGCCATCATCAATTGGTTTCTCAAAATTCTACAATAATTTAAGCAATATAGAGGGCTACAATAATTTATCACATCTCTCAAAGTTGATGGTAGGATAATAGTAGACGATGAATCCATGGCAATGTTAAATGGAAAATCATATCAGCTTAATATAAAGCATCTTCAGTTAGGACACCTCTTAATACTGTAAAGTGATATATCTAATCCTTTGGATGCATAGACTATTGAAGGGGGAACTATCTTAGAGATTTCAACTTGATCAGGACATAGATCCTACCAAAGAGCTTATTGCAAACTCCGCCAGTTAATGTCAACTGTTGGCGCATTGAGCGCCCAACAGATAATCTAATAGCAGATTTGGTGAAACATGGATTTTTTCATTCCATTCTAAAATCAAGATTGCAATGGCTATGGTAAACATTCTCTTTTACATGCCCCTTTGAACTCAAAGCTATCATAATTAGTCCCAAGCCAAATTGAAAGAGGTGAGGTGGGTGCATTGGATTCCTTACCAGTTTTAAAACTACATCAAAACATGAAATGAACCCAAAACCCACCCCAAAAAATAGGGATAAGACTGAAAATGAAGATGACAATTTTCTGCTTAAGCTTAACCTCTCTAATGCTTTCAAGATAGATGATTTCAGTAATAGAGTCTCCAAGTTAGTTTTTTCATGTATGCTTGTCTTTTAAGAGTTCAAGCACCCACTCCATGCCAGTATAAGATGCAAATCGCCAATATTTTATTGCTTAAGTATTGAGTGTGCCCATGCTCCTAAAAGATTCTATGAATTGGCAACTTTCATCTTAGCTCCAACACAATCTTTTATCTAAATCACAAATCCCAACCTATTATGACTTCATTTAGTTGAAATTTAAAAAAAAGTTCTTCCGTGAAAAATAAATAAATATAGCATACCAACATGAATTGCCAATTTTGGGGGATGGGGGAATGGGTCTAATCCCACCACATTAGAATTGTGATTCTTGGCATAGTAAGGAACAAAGTTACTTTATGGAGCAGAGACAAATCGTCAAATATAGTTGCAGCAAACAAGTACAATACACAATGCAACACTAGGCATGCTAGATTGTGCTCGGGTTGCATGCCAAATACTCCCTCAATAACCTATTTACTCGTGAGAACATTAATCATCCAACACATCCATATCAGCTCATCCCAGAAGCTACTTGTCTTCTTTTGTAGTCACACGAGCTAGTTTAATATTGAAATAACTCAAAGCCTGCTTCAACATTGATTTGATGGTATCATACTAGAGTTAGATCAGCATAATTGCTTATTGACTACACAATAGTGAGTAAAAGTGCATGCTAATTTCTAGAGACATTTCCTGTACATATGTGATAGAATGTACCCTAAGTTTGTAAGAAAAAATAGGATATGTGATTGTTCCTTCATTTTCATTTTCCACTTTTTCAAGTTTATCATATAGAAAAGGATAGAAAAGCTGCATCAGTGTTGGTCAAGTTAGAAAGTATGACTCTTGAAACTACTTTAACTACACGGTTTTTAAGAAACCAAACAAAAAAGCTCATGCCAATAAGAAGGAAGGTGAAAACATCAAGTTGCTAAATTTGTTTTCCAAAAACCTTAGTCAGAGAAAATAAAACTAAATCTTACAAAGAAACTTTCTCAATGAGTTCGCTTGTTTATAGATAGAAATTTTAAGGGAATATTGCAAAAATAAAATAAAATAAAATTCCAAACATACTGAACATGGTGAACTAAAGATAGAAGTATGACATTACTGAAACTCTCCATAAAAAATAAAGAAAATTTATATTAATTGGGATAAATAATACGCACAGACAAGTAAAACAAAGAAGAATAATTACAATATAGTAGGATAGGATAGACTAGGATTTTATCAAGATAACGCTTACAAAACCATCTCAGAAGCAATGCAAATAGCGTAAACAAACAAATAATACCTAAAAGTTTCAGCACAAACATGATTGGAAAATTTTTAATTCTTCTCATGAGGATGCTGAAACTAAATGCAATAAGATAAAAATATATCAAACTTTTAGTCCTCCACAATATCAAATAGATATTATAATCTCCAAAGCATAGCTTGCATTAAACATATTAAAACAACATTCAAAATATCAACTTAATGTGTCGTCTTTTAAGCCATTAAAACTCTTAGAAATCCTTATCAGAAAATTATGGCGTAGACTAATAAATATAAAAATACTTCAGGTTAAAAATTTCCTTAATTTTCTAAAATTAGGATGCATAAACTACATCTCCTTCCTGTTTAAAGTTATAACTGTTTAAGAGATACGCTCTTACAAGTAAAGCTTTTATAATCATTTGTTTGCCACTATTTTGGTTTTTGATCAGTAAATTAGTTGTATTTGATGTGCTTTGTGCTTTCACCATCATTCTAGCATCCATATTTTTAGGCTTCCGCTTATAAACAATTCAATGTTTTCTTCCATGGGAAGCATTGTGTGTATTTGATTAAGGAAACAGAATGAAGTTTCCTCCTTGAAAGAAGCTTCGGTATGACAAAAAAAAGAGAGGCATACAAATAGAGGAGCTGACTATAGCCTGGATCCAAAAATCATAAAAACGTTTCCAAAGAATTCCAGATGAATAGAAAATCACAACGTATCCTTCACCAGGTAATGAGCTCTCCAAAAACAAAGACCTTGCAGAATGAATGACATAAATATAGTGCTCCATCTAGGTTGTTATACAGAAGTAATTTATTTCTTTAGCATGAGATTTCCCACCGTGAATTTCCACTTATATAGAATAAACTTGGATCAAGACATTGGAAACCTTGAGAAAGAAAAAGATCCAAAAGAAAAAGAAGTCTATTTAGGCAAAAGAATAGCCAAGAAAAACTTCAACGATTACCAAAAACGCAACAGAAACTGCCCTTCCAGCACGCAGAGAACCAAATTCAAAAACCCTAGAAAACAAAACAATAAACCATAAAAAATAAGAACCATCCAAAGAAAACTAGGATATCATACCTCAAGATCCAAATCATTCAAACCTTGAAATAAACCCTAAAAAGAAAGCAAACAACTCGACTACACTAATTGGATTCAAACGCACAATTTCAAACCTGATCATAATCAGGAAAAGAACAAGCAAAAGATAACCAAAAGAAGAACAGCCACCATCCTCACAAAACAAGAAGCAGAAGAAGCATGGAAAGGAAAGAGCATTGATAAGGACCGACCATTTGATAGATAACATACGATCCGAAGCTAATCACAAAGGCAGAATCGCCGGAATCGGATTCCATATCAGCAGCGGCGTGCGTCAACACCACAGATTTGGATCGGAAACGAGGCCAATAGGGTTCAATCGCCTTTTCCTCCATCATTGCAAATTGGAGAAGATACATTTGAGAGAGACAGGAAGAGAGAGAGAGGAGAGGCAATGGTAGGTATTTATGCGTTTCCGCGCGGAGAAAGTTAACCGAAGGAGAAACCATAGTTTGGAGTTTTAACCCTGCAGCAAAGCTACGTCGACTTCTCTCTATCTTCTTATTTTGGTTCTGCAAGTTTGAATTCGTGAACTTGCACAGACTATAAGCGCGGAGGAGTGCCACACCAATGGCCTATCGTCCTAGATTTATGCGGCATGTGTGGGATCATTGCACTGAATTAACTAGCAAAATAAAAATTAAAATGATTCAAAATTCATCATTTAATTGCATTTTGATATATTTAAAATTTAATGTTTGGACTAATTTCAAATGCACTATGCCAATGAGATTTTGCACCTTGTAGTTGTCATCCTCTTGCCACCGGTCGCTGCCCACTACTTGTTATTGGCAACCATCACTGCTGACTACTAGCACATCGTCATTGCCTCACCATCGTCACTAGCTCGCGACCCTGATGGTATTGATCACCCCACCCCTGCTGTGCAACCTGTGCTGCCACTTTTGTAACCAATAGTTGTTGGCTGATACCCATTGCTATGAATTATTATTGACACAACTTTACACTGAATTCATTTTACTTTCAACTAAATATAAAAAAGCAATCTCTTACATTTGTGTTACACTCAAACAAACAAATCTAAGAAAATGTTTAGCAAAAAAGTAGGATTTAGTAAATCCTCTAAATTTGAATGCGGTATATTCTTAGTGTGTTAAATCACAAAAAATGTTTGGAAGATGAGTATTAAATCCTGCTAAATTGTTTGAAAATGAAATCCAGATTTTTAAGGCAATTAGTTCAATAAAAAAATAAATTTATTTATATATTCAATTTAATTTATATTTTAAATAATATTTATTGATTATTTTTAATTACTGACAATAAGTTATAATTATAAATAATATAATTAGAATATAATTTAATTATTACATAATTTAATTAATTATTAAAGCATCATTTAAACAAATTTTAATTAATAAGTATATTATTTATTATCTAATTAGTTATTAAAATAATTATTCAATTATTATTTAGAATTTTTTTACTTACTACTTAATTAATTTGGACTTATTTTATGAAGAAATATGATAATAATTAAAATTAGTAGAAGGAGCATCAATTATTAAAAAATTAAAATATGAGCAAGTATGCTAAATTAAATGGAATATTCTAAAATATGCCAAATTTTTGGGACAGTGTATTTAAAAAAAATATATTATAAATATTATATTTAAATATATGATAGCATAACTATATTTAAATAATAAAATTTATGTAATATTATTAAATATCTAATTTTTTTATAGAAAAAATGAGTTAAATAAATATTTAAAAATCAGTTAAAATAATAGGTAAATATCTTGAACCTGTTAAAATACTAAATAAATTTATAAATATTTATTATTCTCTCTTTCCACTGTCATCTCTCCCCCTCTCTCTCTCCGCTATCATCCCCCTCTCTCTGCTGTCATCTCTCTCTCCCTAACTAATTATTTTGTGCAGATACCGAATAGAAAGAACATTCTAGATTTGCTGAGTTTTTATTTCCCTTTTGCTGTGTTTTTGCGAAAGTATAGTAAAACGATAGCAAATAGTTAATATTTATTAAATAATTGAGTATTTGTTGCGCTTTTGCGACACTTTGGCAAAAAGGATAGCAAAATGACAATAAAAACACATTCATAATTAAATATTTGCTGATATTTTATTGACCTTTTGCAAAAATGCACTAAATTCGAACATTTCTTTTCATTCGATATCTGCAGAGAATAATTTCTCCTCTTCCTAACTCACCTCTCTCTCTCCTCCCTTTTTCTCTCTGCATGTGAGTGTAATACGTAAAATTAAATGACGTATTCTCATTGTGTCAAAATATTTAGCGTATTTTAGAATACTCTATTTAATTTAGAGTATTTGCACCTATTTAAATTTTGATTAATCTATGCCCATTCTATTAATTTTAAAGATTATCATTCTCTTTATAAAATAAGTCCTTTTTGTAATTATAATTGTTTTTCTCCTTGGCCGGTCTACGGTTTGCTTTCCCTTCTCCGTTTCGAGCTCTGCTGGTCGCGTTAGGCAAAGTTTTGAACCAGCTGCTTCTTCGCCTCCTTAGATGAAGCGTTCTTCTTTCGCCTACTTCGACGGCGTTCTTCGCCTCCTTCGACGGGATGGGAGCTCACTTGTTACGACGGTAACCATCTTTCTCCCCTTTCTCTCGCTTCTTCAGCCAAATCCCATAAATTGGCGTAAATCCGTCGAATCGTAGGATGTAGTAAATTAGGGATTTACGGCGAAATGGGGGAAATGGAGGATTTATTCGCGGTGAGATTTTTTAAGATGTCCATTTTTTCTGTCTGGAACTCACTATTCATTACTTTTACGGACGTACTACTTCACCGGTTCTCACATCTCTCATCTTCTTGCATAATATTTTACATTGATGTCTATGAATATTTCATTACATATTTTGTAAGTTCTATGAAATAATTGATAGTCTTACATGACTTTTCAAATAATAAGAAATGGAAAAAAAATTCCTTAATTAATTTATTACTTGTCATCCATGTTATTAAGCTAATTGTAACATAAACCACCGGTAGGATTGAAAAAATGCACAAGGATAAAAGAGAATGCAACTCATGGAGTAATAGAAAAAAATCCTCCTCGTGGGTTTAATAAAAACAAATGAATTATTACATATATATTTATCTTTTGGATTCTTCATAAAGAGTAGAACGGCATTTCTTCAAAAAGAAGGATGGCAGCTCACTTTATATATATAACTTAAGAGGATGAGATAATTTATTCCTATATTCGATATGACAATTTTATTTAATGTGGGGCTTATAATCTGATCATAAAGCTGACTACATTAGTGGGGAATTGCCTGGATGAGGATTAAGACATAAAAAAAGTGATCCTTGCCTCAAACTTAGATCTATGATATGAACTAAATGTACCACTATGGTATAGCCCTCTCTCTAATTTGTTGACAATAAGAGAGAGAGAGAGAGAGAGAGAGAGAGAGAGAGAGAGAGAGAGAGAAAGCGAAAGAGAGATAGATATCTGCAGGCGAACATGCAAGAGAGAGAGAGATTATGAAGCAACATACCTGCCTCCAAGCCGGCCCCACCTCATATGGTTTGCTCCCAAACGATTCATACTAATCAATTGAATTTATAAAATGTTTAACAATTCATTCACAATAAAATTTAAATTAACAATTCATTAATCAATTGAATTTTCATTTAATTAATTAATCAGCCAACCAATTAAAAAAAATGAAACAAAATGCATAATAAAACATTCATACTAATCAATTATCAACAACAACACAAACAACCCAACCCTGTACGGCTGTACAATCAAAAAACTCTCAAATAAGACTCTCCAAGCAACAAACTCAAACTCTCCAAACAACACTCCAAGTCAACAAAACTCTACAAATTCATGTACAAAACTCCCCACAACACAAACTGAAACTCTCAACAATCAACAGCTGTAACTATTTGTGAGCTCACTGAACCTCTACAAGTACCACGTACCTACAAACGGACAAACAATAATCAATGCATCATAAATAAATTAAATCAATGCTGGAAAATAATAAATCTAGCTACTGTAGGTAGAACAAAGTACTGGAAGTGTGTAAAAGCAACACAATAGTGCTAAAGTAAAGTAATGAAATACCACAATAAAAAAAAGTTACTAGCACAAAACAACAAACACACTACTGAAAATGCTAGGTTAGAAAACAATCATTGTCAAGTGTCAAAACCACGATGGTCTAGTGTCAGATAACCACTGTCCACTCAAACAATAAAACTCAAAATACTTGGACAGCCTTGTTTATAAGAACTTGGTTATAAGACTCACTATCCGACAACTTTCAAAGGAAAACCGTAAGTCCGATCTTAGGGAAAAGTTTTATGTTAAAATTGACCTAATCTCTAACCCCCAATTAAAACATCGACAACTTCTAATAGAAGCCGTAAGTCCGACATCTGAGAGAAATATTTAATTGTAACATAACCTTAGATCCCTCACTCGGGCATCCTAGTCTATAGGGCTTGGTTGTAAGACCCACAACTCGGGCAACTTAGCTTACTAGGCTAGGTCGTAAGACCCATCACTGAGCAACTTCTAAGGAAGCAATAAGACATACCCAATTGAAATCTTCGGGCTACTTTTAGTAGAGGCCGTAAGTCCCATTAACCAGGCTACTTTCTAATGAGAATCATAAATCCCTACCCTTATGATTAAGCAAAGGCTGACTAACAATGTATGGTATGAAATAAGACATGACTATGCATATTTTAATTTAGTTTTCTAGTCTTTAATATAATATTAAAAAAATCTATGATGTAGACACAATGTGCTATATATATGTGTGATTTACTATATGGTACTGATCATTTATTTCATAGAGTACACTTGGTAGATTAGTTAGTCAAATATTGTCTATATATTTATGGTTCATTAAGGGGGTTTAGCATTAATTTCTTTTATAAGATTTAACCCAAAAAGTTCATGTATTAAATTTTAAATAAATTAATTCCCTGTGATTGATTGTATATTGATTGCATACTTAGGGTATAAAGTTTAACATTTTATAAGCTTATGAATAACCACATTCATGTTAATCACAAAATAAATAAAGTAAAAAGATATAAATGTATCATAATGAACTAAAATAATCAATTATCAAGAATAAATAATATCTAAGTGCACTTGGGTTCTACAATACACCCTACCTAAGTTTTGCCATAATTAAAACCCAATCTTATATTATATACAAAAATTATAATATATGGAATTTTTTATAGGGCTCCATCTAGATCACCATCACTTCTCCTACTCTTTGAATTATCTCACATGTCTACATGTTTCTTGAACTCAAATCACATAAAGAAAGCCAAAGTTTACAAAACATCCATATAAAATAGATGTTAACATACTAAAGCATATAAATTTCTTTAGCAAAATTATTTTTGGTTGGCACAATATTATGCTAAGTAATAGGTAATGCCTTTGAGGGCACGATATAATAAGCACCCATAGGAAAAATATTTTTTGTAAAATAATACAACTGTAGTGTCAAGCTAATACATCACTCAACAAGCG